TATTGAAAAGCAAATAGATTTCTTAGAAGCCTGGATTCCTTAATGCAGGTGCAGGCCTGGCTGCTGTGACTGAGAAGCCCAGCCAAATCCGTGGTTTGTGCTATTCTGCCTCCCCTGGACAGGCCATCCCAGGCTGGTCAGACTTAACTCAGGCTGGGTAGCAGCCGTTTCTGAAGTTACCTTGGGAAGAGTGTGCTAGAGATAGTAGATTGTGCAGTAATGTACTTTTCCATTTCCCTGGGTAAGACAGTGTCTAGCGCGGCTTAGAGCAGCAATACATCCCAGGACAGAGGCCCTGGGGTGTAATAGCTCCTGGAACCTGAGTATCTGCTATAAACACCCAGCACACTCACCTTTCTTGAAGCACCCGCAACTTCTGGGCCTTAGTGCTTACCCAAATTGAGGGTTGCACTCAAACTCTTATGTCCAATCAAAACTCTAAGGCTGGTGCTCATCATCATACTCTCTTTGTCTCTTATTCAGGACCCACTCTACATATAATTTTATTAAATGTTTTGTTCCATGGAAATCCTAATTTTAATATTAACTCTCCTCCCCCACCCCCAAAGGAAAAGCACAGAGGGAACTTTTTAAAAGAGATGAGGCATATCTCCTTTTCACAGAGAGAAAGGGCACAGCTCTGGAGCTTGAGGACAGTGTGTGAGCAGATGGCACTGACCTGGCCTTCAACTAAGAGTGGAAAGTAAGGTGGCCGGAGACTCAGCACCGGAGCCTCAGGTATTCTGGGCAGCAATCTTGTGCATCATTAGAAAAGCTGTCTCCCCAAGTAGATCCTGGTGTTGGATGTAGAGAAAGTTTAATCTAGGATATGGTCCAGCTCCAGGATTCCCTAACGTAGAAGAAGGGCCTGAAGGTGCAGAAATGAAGACCCTTATTGTATGGCAGGACATAGGGAATCTTCCCATTTTTCTGGGATGTCTATATTCCGAGGTGAGTGTCCTGCCTCCCCATCACAAGAAGGGCAATCTCTGATATGTGTGGAGGGAGTTACAAAGTTAATTCCCAAACAACATCAGGTTTAATTCTCCTCACAGCCTTGACAGGTGAGGAGGGGGAGCACCACTCCTGCATTTAGGGATGAAGACATCCAACACTCTTTTGTGTGAGTTGCTGTTTTCTCCTTCACATTTAGATAAATGAGACCTTAAGTGTCCTGATCAAATAAAGTCTGGGGTCTTATTCAGAATCAGGACCACTGGGTGACAAGGGAGGGAGGTCAGGGCCAGTGGCTCTGTTGAAGCCCCTTCCATGTGCCCACCATGAAGCATGCCTGCATTTGAGCTCACTTTCTACTGTTTATGTTAAAAAACTTGGTTCCTATCTCCATGATCTTGATTTGCAAGCATCGTCACCATTCCTCAAATACGATCGCAATTATCTAGTCCCAGTTGCTGAGACCGTGGGTCAGGGTGGCATTGGCTCTCCAATGGCTCTAGCAATTATCCAAGTGTAGTTCCAGGAAGCCAAGAGCTGAGAACCCTCCTCCTACAAACGCCTTCCTGGATGGGCTGTCTGAGCAGCAGCAGGACTTCCTCCTTGTCTTAGAAAGGCTATTCTTATTCATCCCTCCCTATTTAGACCTGCTCCACAGACATCTCCTGGAAATCTCACAGCTCTTGGAGGTAGATGCTATAACTACCGGCCTGGTAGATGAGGAAAGCAAGACTCAGAATGCAGGCTATTTGCTTCCAGGTCACACCGTTGTTAAGTAACAGAGCCTGGATACCAAATCAAGTCCATCTGCTTTACTCTCCACTGCAAGACCTGGAGTTTCCTGGGCCTAAGACAGTCTATGGCAATTCTCTCAGGCATGTGTGTGGGGTCAGGTGGGGTGGTTTGTCATATTCTAGGTCACAGGACCTGAGGCAGGATTCTAATTGGCTCTTGAGCCTCAGTCCTTTGCTCCAAACTGGTGAAAACAACCAGAAAGCCAATGTCCATGGAAAACTCCCCTTGGTGGTACACAATCCCCAAAGGCAGAGGAGCAAACCCCTAAAAAGAGATTCTAGGCTGCTCTCCCTTAGGGTTGGAGGAGAAGGTGGAGACGACAGTGTTGGTTTGGGATTGTGATGGGGGAACATTCTTTGTGTTTACTCCAGTTGGAGGAAGAGAATTTCTTGGTTCTTGGAGAGCTTTGCAAAGCGTGTGAGGAAGTAGGCTTAGGATGCAGGAGTGGGGAGATTGAGGGCAGAATTTTGGCTCGGGGCTGGAGCGGGGAGAATAGGGACAAATGTTCCAGTGGCTTTGGCCGGAAGGATCCCAGCACCCGCTGTCTTTTCTCCTGGGCAGAGGCCAATGCGTAGGGCCGCTACAATGCGCGGCTTCATTGGTTGGCATTTGCTTCTATTTGGGCTCGCATTTCATGGTGTGTGTGTGTGTGTGAGAGAGTGTGAGTGTGTGTGTGTGTGTGTGTGTGTGTGTGTGTGTGTGTGTGTGTAGGCTTTAGGCTTTATGTCCCTGATAATTAGGGTCTCAGTGCACGCGTGAAACCTGCAACCGAAAAGGAAACTAAGAACACGTGCTGGCTTCTGCAAACTTTCCGCGCTCCTAGATATAGTCGAAATTAGTTGGTGTACGCCCCTCCTGTACAGATCGGGAAACTGAGGGCAGTAGAGGAAGCGGGACTTGTTCAAGGTTACAACGCAAAATAGTGGGTAGAGCCGGGTCGAAGGACCTTTACGTGTGAAATGATTCGAGTCTGAGTTGGAAGAGAGCTCTCAGGACGCATTGTTCAGACTAAGGTGAAAGAAAACGCGCTTAGATACGTCGATCTTGGTGACCCCCCCCTCCCACTCCCCAACACACATTTTTGCTGGAGAGGAGTGGAAGGGACACAGGAACGTTTTCCTAGACGCCCCCTAGCGGCCTGCACCCAAAGCTCACAGCTGGGGCAAGGAAGTACTTGAATAACCTATTTGGCCGGATGGTTGAGGCTTCCTGGGTTTGGAAAGCAGGCGGCGTGGCTCTGCTTTAGGCCTCATCGCCTCCGACACTTCCCAGGAGTGGAAACAAATGTGATTTTGGAGACCTCTCAGCTTCTTTCCCAAGGCGGGATGTAGGGGTAGGAGGAGAGGCCAGGGGTGTAAACCCGGCAATGTTCAGCGAAGTCCTGTGGGGTCAGCAAGCAGTAAGTTACTGGGAGGAGGGGGCTGTGTGGGTCGGGATGTTTTACCGAAACGATCTCTGTGGGGACGATTCAGTGATAGGCTTCCCAAACCCACCTGTTTTAAAAGAGGAAACTGAGGCAGAGACTAGAGTTGATTCGCCAGAGGAGCCCTCTCTCCTTACCGTCCACCACTACCACTATTGTTCCGATAGAACTCATACCCGGTCACGCACACGGATCCTTTAGAAAGACCCATCTCCACAAAGAGAAGTTCAATGAGAAGCCATTCTCTGGATAATTCACCACGACCATCCCTTCACCCAGGTCTCTAATCAAAACTGCCTATTTCTACTGGACAAATCAACCGGATGATTACCCACTGCTTTCTCCTGCTTATGTAGATGCGACTGGAGACGCGCCCCAGCCGCCTTCCCCGGCCTGCACCAAAGAGGTAACAGAGATGGGGCCCCGTTGCTCGGTCAGGTTCCCCCGCAGCGCTGCGTCCCAAGGCGACCCGAAGCTGGACCAGGCTCCGGCCAGAGAGCGCCAGGGCCAAGGGCCTGGAAAGGGCTCCTGGGCGGGCGCTGTCCAAGCAGCCGAGCGACTGCTGCAAACGCCTCCCCCTCCCTCCCGGCGCCAGCACGCGGCCCCGCCGGGCTCGGCTCCCAGTCGCCTGCCACCGGCCCGCCGGGCACACGCCTGGGGCGGGGTGGAGGCTGCGCCAAGGCCGCCGAGGTGCACGCGGCGGCGCGGAACAACCAGAGACGCTTCTCCAGCCCCTCAAGCTCCGTCACCCTCCCCCACTCGGTGCCCGGTATCTTTTTTCCCAGATCCAACCCAGAATATCCCAGATCACTCCCTTCTTTAAGCACCCGTCACCCCAAGCCAGTCTGGAAATTAGCCTCGTGGGTGGGGGCGAGGGGGGGGGGAGCAATTCTATAGGCAACCGGAGGTCATCCTGGGGGGCATCCCTGATGTACGCATCTACCTAAGGGCGCTGATCACACCATCCCTCAATGCGATCAACTTCCCTTCTCCTCGGCCCCGCCACGTTTGCTTAGTCGTGAGGAGCACATCCTAGTTTTTAGACCTGGATGGGCCATTAGAGACCATCTAATCTAACTTCTATTGTTACAGACAAGGAAACTGAGGCTCAGGGAGGATGCCGCTTACTAAGAGCCTCAGAGCTAATGAGATGGGTCATTGGGACTAGAACCCAAGTCTTAGCAGTGCTTTTACTTTAATAGTGCAGTACTTCCGACGGAATTGTCCCCCTTCTTTCTAAAGTTGCAACACAAATTTCTTTGGCTCCCAAGGACAGCGAAGACCCCCAAGAGAATGACAGTGGGTAGGAGAAGAAAACGGGGAACAAGGAGCCCCTTGCCCCCTCACCTCCACAACGCCCCGTGCCACTTCTTCTGCCCAAACCCTTTCCTGTACTTTGCTCCAAGTTCTCTGGAGAATCCAGGGGAAATTCACCCTAAACCTCTCCACTCATGCACCCCAATTCCCAGAGCCATTCGCCCCTCTTGCGACGCCGGCCCCCCCTTTCCAGAGCCACCCCCGCTGCAGTCCGCCCCGAGCGCGCCGCCTGTTTATTCAGCCGAGAGTCCGGCACGCGCCAGGCGCACGCACTGCAACAACAAACCCGGCTGAATGGGGAGTTTGCAAGGAGCGGGCGCCGGGAACGGGCGGGGGGAGGGGAAGAAAGGAGGGGGGGTTTAGGGAATGGGTGGGAGGAGGAGGTAAGAGGAGGGGGAAGTGGGGGCTGCAGCCGCTCGCTGCAGCAGCGGGGAGTGGGGGGCGAGGCGGGGCCAGGGCTGCGCGTGGGGCTGGGTGTCCCATTGAAAAGGCAGCCGCTGTCCGGCCGCCCAGCACTCTCTCCCTTCTGGCCAGGGAACGTGGAAGGCGCACCGACAGGGAGCCGGCCAGGGAGGGCGAGTGAAAGAAGGACATTAGAAAGAAAGGTTAACAAAATAATAAAAACAGCCTGAGCCACGGCTGGTGAGACCGAGACCCGGAGCAAGAGTGCGCAGGCCTAGGGGGAGAGGAACAGGAGACTCCGCAGAGCGCGCTCATCACTGACTTTTGCTTCTTCTTCTGCTTGTTCTTTTTCTTTTCTTTTTTTTTTTTTTAACAAGAAGGCGCTAGCGGCAGCCTCACACGCGAGCGCCACGCGAGGCTCCCGAAGCCAACCCGCGAAGGGAGGAGGGGAAGGAGGAGGAGGAAAAGCATTTGCACCTTCTTTGCTACCACCCTAAGAAGCCTCCCGGGGATTTTGTATTTTTTTTGTTAACTTCCCTCCGGGCTCCCTCTTCATCTCTCTCCTTCTTTCCCTCTGTTCGTGCACCCCAAGACCTTGTGTCTCCCTCGCGCGCCCCACACCTCGCGTCCCCTCTCGCTCCGATCCCGCGACTCCTTGGCAGCCGCTGCGCATGGAGAGCTCTGCCAAGATGGAGAGCGGCGGCGCCGGCCAGCAGCCCCAGACGCAGCCCCAGCAGCCCTTCCTGCCGCCGGCAGCCTGCTTCTTTGCCACGGCCGCAGCCGCGGCGGCGGCGGCAGCAGCAGCAGCGGCGGCGCAGAGCGCGCAGCAGCAGCAGCAGCAGCAGCAGCAGCAGCAGCAGCAGCAGCTGAGTCCGGCGGCCGACGGACAGCCCTCAGGGGGCGGTCACAAATCAGCGCCCAAGCAAGTCAAGCGCCAGCGCTCGTCCTCGCCTGAACTAATGCGCTGCAAACGCCGGCTCAACTTCAGCGGCTTTGGCTACAGCCTGCCGCAGCAGCAGCCGGCTGCCGTGGCGCGCCGCAACGAGCGCGAGCGCAACCGCGTCAAGCTGGTCAATCTGGGCTTTGCCACCCTTCGGGAGCACGTCCCCAACGGCGCGGCCAACAAGAAGATGAGCAAGGTGGAGACATTGCGCTCCGCGGTCGAGTACATCCGCGCGCTGCAGCAGCTGCTGGACGAGCACGACGCGGTGAGCGCTGCCTTCCAAGCCGGCGTCCTGTCGCCCACCATCTCGCCCAACTACTCCAATGACATGAACTCCATGGCTGGCTCGCCGGTCTCATCCTACTCTTCGGACGAGGGTTCTTACGACCCGCTCAGCCCCGAGGAGCAAGAGCTTCTCGACTTCACCAACTGGTTCTGAGGGGCTCGGCCTGGCTAGGCCCTGGTGCGAATGGACTTTCGAAGCAGGTAGGTTGCATTTTGGAGTGAACAGGAGGGTTTACTTGTCTTCGCCTCCCCCGCGGTCCCCCCTCCCCTAGTGTCAGTAGAAAAGGGATTGTCTCCACGGAGATGGGGGTGGGGTGGGGGTGGGGGAGTTGATTTCAAGGATTTGTGAGTCTATTTGAAATCCTGGCTTGTTAGTTGCAGCACCGGCCTCTGAGGGTGGCTTTGCCGTCTCCGAGGACTGGAGGATAGGGGCGAGGTGGAGAGATGCTGGAGAACCGAGCTTTAGGATCTGCCAAAAGAGGCGCTCTACCTGACAGATCCTCCCCTAAACCCCCATTCCCTTCACACACCCCCCACCCACACTTGCCTCCAACTTCACATTAACCTCTCTTGTTCTTCTCATGTTACAGGGTGACTGCACAACCTGCATTTTTAGTGTGTTCTCGTCAGTGATGTTGGAAGGGAGAAAAAAAGAAAAAAACAAACCAGGCAACCAACCCCAAGCGACACAGGCCTGCGAAGCAAGGCTCTCAGAAACACAGAGATGCGTTCAGAAACATATCTTTGCACTCCAACCATTCACAGAGATATGAAGAGTGACTAAGACCCGAGTCCATGCGCAAAATGCAGCTTGTGTGCAAACGCATTGGGCTCCTGGCGGAAGGGAGCAGCACACGCCCTGTAGAAACTCCCACCCACCGCTAACCCGCAGAGCTGAAGCGCTTGCTCGGATGCCTTCACCTCCCCGCCCTCTTTGAAAGCGCAGTTCTTAAGCCTCTAGCAATGGGTTGGTGCCTTTCCTCTCAGCATCCTCCATCCCAATAAACTGTGGACATTGTCTGCAGTGAAATTAGGCGATACTCAGTCTTTTGAAACCCAGATCCCCCTGGCCCTCTCCCCAAACCCCACTCCCTCACACCATCTTTTCTACCGTTTTCATCATAGAATGCTTCCAATCTTTTGTGAATTTTTTTATTATAAGAAAAATCTATTTGTATCTATCCTAACCAGTTTGGGGATATATTAAGATATTTTTGTACATAAGAGAGAAAGAGAGAAAAAATTTATAGAGTTTTGTACAAATGGTTTAAAATGTGTATATCTTGATACTTTAACATGTAATGCTATTACCTCTGCATATTTTAGATGTGTAGTTCATCTTACAACTGCCATTTTCCCTATGTGGTTTTGTAAAGACCTCTCCTCATAGGTGAGATCAAAAGGCCACCAGATGTACTTAAGCACCAATGTGTCTTACTTTATAGAAACTTTGTTAATGTATTAATGATGTTATTAAATACTGTTCCAGAACAAAGTTTATGCAGCTACTGTCCAAACGCAAAGTGGCAGCCAGTGCTTTTGACAGGTTGCCTTTTGGGAAATTTCTATCACTGCCTTTTTTTTCTTACTGTTTTATTACAAACTTACAAAAAAATGTATAACCCTGTTTTATACAAACTAGTTTCGTAATAAAACTTTTTTCTTTTTTTTTTACAAGTGAAAATAATCAGCTGCCTCTCAGTCTTTGACTCCAGTGCCCTGTCCAAGTTATCTAAACGCCCGAGGGAAGGGGTGGGTGAGAGAGAAGAGGGTGGAGAAAAGCATTCTACTTGGCAGAAATGACAAAGATAAGTGCTATGACCAGTCCTACCTGAGTTGGCGCCTATGATGAATGTAGAGGGAAAACATATATAGATAAAAACGGTTTTATTCTCCTTTTATGCTGCAAATGTACACCTTACACCTAGACATAGGTGGTGATTAATGACTGCAGCATCTTTTAATAAAGTGACTGTACATTTTTATAAAATGCCCCCAAAAGTGAACTGGAAAGAGAGCGTCCTCACCCCACTCTTACCCCCTTTCCGAATTTCTCATTGTGAAGCTGTGGAAGGTCTGGGTGAGATAATAGGCACTAGGTTGGGTGGAAGGGTGGTGGTGCCAGGGTTTGGACCTGGTGGAGGCAGCCCTCTACATACTTGCAGTAATGAGTGTGTTCTTCCTGCACTTCCAGGCACACATTTTCTACTTCTTTCCCCCAGGATACACACTTTCCATATTGATTTTAAGTAAAAGGCACATATGATATGAATTCCTTATGAAAGGAGTCAGATTTAAAGAAATAAAAGCCTTAGAAATGTGTGGTCGCTTTGAGACGCTGGCCTATCTAAGCTTGTGACTCTATCCGAATAGCGTGAGCTGCGTGTAAAAGTACCCAATTACCAAGATTCAAAAAGAAATTGGTGGGTTTTTGGCTGGCTTGCTTCTTGTCAGTTAGCAAGGACGTGATCAGAATCCCACTCCGCCTCTCGCCGGCTCCTCGCTCGCAGACTGCATTACTTGCACATTCAGTTTGCGTGTCTCCACCCAAGCGGAAAGCCGAGCGCAAAATGCATCTTACAAAACCCAACAAAGAACGGGGAGCCAGCACGTCTTCCAGAGTTAAAAATCTAGTCTGTGTTGGTACATCTATACCATTTAGTGGCACAGAATAATCATTTTTTAAAGCTGCGATGCGCGGAGCACGCCACAGCGTCTGATGTCATTTTGCTAAATGACCCTCTATAGAATGCACATTGAGGCTTCAGTCCCTTTCAAAGAGATGAGCGTAATTAAGGGGAAAAAAATCAGTAAATTCCTCATCGCCATAAATAATCGGACTTTCTGCCAGCAGTGGGCCAATTTAGAGCTTACTTGAGGGAAGTAATGCTTTTGTGATGCCTGCTTTTATTTTTACCTTCTCATTTGGAGGACCAGGGCTGGGCTCTCCCCCCCCCATTTCTTTTTCTTTTAATTTAGCTCCTTTGCAAGTTTTCAGATAAGGTATGCAAAGAAAGTGTAGCAAGTCATTTATGGCTATGAATATAACATTAGGATAATGTTTCGGCCCCCACAAAGGGTTTTTTTTCTTTCCCCTCCCTTCTCCTTGTGAAGACAGGTGTTCTTTTACTCACTTCTGAATGGGAAATATCCAGTCTCGTTAAGCTCGAGGCAAAGTTAGCCGTTGTTTGCCACAATGCAAAGGCAAACTCTAAAAATTCACAAAAACACACACAATTTTGCCGAAGCTAGGAAAGGGCAAAGCAAGGATTGGGCAAAATCTCATTACATCTGCTCTAATCGCTTAGCAACACAAAGCCGGGACTTGTGCGGGAAGGGAGGCCATTCACAGAGCTGTGACAGGCCGCATTCAGCCGGCATTAGTCAGCTCCATAAATCACCGCTGCCCATTGGCTGCGCGGCGGGCTTTGGAGCAGTCCTGGGCTGTCAGCGAAATACAAAATGTAGACCCCAGCGGCTAGCCATCGCGGCCTCTCCCCGGTCCTGGCCCCCACCCCACTTTATTTTGGGGGTTTCAGGGGGTGGGGAGGGGAGTGATGCCGGCGAAGAAAACTTCCTTGACTTTATTGACTGAGAAATCTTACCTATTCAAAAAATGGCCCGGAGACCACTGAGTTAAGACTAGAGACACACCTGAAATTGACAAGGAGGAGCCGGGAGTGCCGGGGGTGGGGGGGGGGTGCTGACCTGCCGCTGGCCGCAAAACTGTTGAAGACTAGTACTATCAGAGGCTGGTTTGGAGCTATTGGGACACACGTTCCCCCTCCCTGACACAGCCTGCAAACAATTTTAAATTGGGAATAGGAGGGTATCTATGAAGAAGAATCTATCTCAATTTCATATCAGGCGGGCCCACCAAGGAAGAGAATGAAACCGGACTGTTGCCTGCATAGGACATCAAAGGAACAGGACTGAGATGTAGTAAGAAAGAGGGAGTCCAATGTGCACGTCCACTTCCCTGCTCTTGCAGAGCTGGGGATCTGAGAACACAGAACCAACAGCCCAGATGCCATCTGAGCTTAAGTATTTTTGTTTGTAACATGGGGTAGACAGGTACCCACAGCAGCAAGAGGAGAAAATGTAAAGGAGTTAGCACATGGCCTTGAGGGGGAGATCACAAGCTATATGTGATTGTGAGCGCCTGTTGTTATTCTTATCTTCCAGTCCTGCCTCTGGTTTTCATCGGGACTGGTCAGCTGATGCCTCTAAACCACAGCCTAGCTTTGAGGCTTACCCACAACCACAGAGAAAAGAGTCTGAGAGTAGATGTGGAGTTAAGGTAGGTTTTCCTGGCAACTCCATCTAAAGCAGCGCTCTATGGGCCACATTCACTCTCCATCCATTAGACTGTTTCTCCTTTCTGCTGCTTGCCAGTATCTTAGAAAACTCCATTTGTGTTTGCTGATACAGTTGCTGTCAATGGCCCCCTACTAGATGGTCAACTTCATGAGGTCAGGGACCCTCCCCTGGGGAGACAGGTACTTGTTGACTGGATGATGGTCTGCTGTGTCGCATTGATAGCTGTGTTACCTATCCTTCCTTTCCTCTTCCAGACCTACTGTCTGCCCTGCCTGCTCTGTTCTGTGTCTGAGTAGGCTGATCTCTAGGTACCTCATCACTAGGGCTCCCTCACCCTCTGCCTTCCTATTAGATTTGGCCACTAGGAGGCACCACTAGGAGATTGTGACCTAGGAGCGGAGGTAGGTAGGACCTTTACATCCCTGTCGCTCACTGCTCACTGCTTTGGCTCAATTGCTCTGGCCGTGGCTTTGCTCCTTGGTCAGGAGGCTTCTCTCTCACAGCAACAGCTCTTGCTGAGCTGTAGTTAACAGCTTCCTCTTGCTCTTCAGGCCCAGAGGTGGCAGCGGCTCTCCCTCGTTAGTAGTCTCTGGGTGCTGCATCATTCTGGTTCCCTTAGCTCCACACACATCTGTCTCTCTATTAAACTATTCTCACTGACGCTTCCAAGTGTGCTAATCTGCTCCTGCTGACCCTGGCTGGTACACAGGCTATTCTTGCACAGGTGCACAGGGATGTACTAGTTTTGTGTAAGATGCTCTGGGACTCATAGGGCTATCGGTAAGAAACTTCCTATGGCAGAGGTGAACCTAGCACTGTTCAAAATCTTAACTCTTCGTTTTGAGCTGGGAATGACCCCATCTTTTGCAAATAAAGCCAATTACAGTTTTCTCTTTTGGAAAATGAGGATAATTCTCCCCTTTGATAGATCACTTCAAGTCCAAAATGAAAGGGCTTCAGAGCTGTCAAAGACCATATCAGTGCAAGAGTTAACCACTTCTCACAACCTTCCTGAACCAGATAGGAGGTGGTACTGGGCACTTGCTACCAAGGTGAACAAAGTCCATGCTGGTGTTGAGAAGCCAGTCATGCTTCCATTCACCCCTTCATTCACTCGCCACTTATGCTCTCATTTAAAGGGAGGGACAAATGATTAAATTTGGTCAACATTTCTAGGACCTAATTGTCTTCATTTGTATCTTCTAGAGCAAACTCCGAGAAGCTTGTTTTATTGCAGCCTCTTTTAAAAACACTACGGATGCTTGCTTCTCTGATGCACTCATGCCTTCACCAACTCTATTTCCCTTTTACCGCTGTTGAGAGGTCTCTGAACATTTT